TGAGCGAGATTCGTGGCTGCCTTAACAGAGGATCACGTTCAATGCCGTGCTGCCAGTGGTTCTGATCAGATTGAGACATTGCAAAGACAGAGCCGTGCTCAAGCGGAATGTTATGCTCAACGAAAGGGCCTGTCGACGTTGACATTCTCATAATTCTGGTAGAGCCAAATGATGCAGTGTAAATCAGACTATCTTCTACAATGCTGGATTCGCTGTCACTATGCGATGGGATACCAACTGACCCGTCCTTATAGTAAGTACATAGGCAGGTGTAGTTCGTGGGAGTAATGTCAGGATCGGATTCATGCAAACAATCAAATATGCGCTTTAGGACAGGCGGCAAGGGATTATCATGGGATGCACGGTGGTTGGTTCTGCCATAACTGTAAGGTACCGAGCCAAAATATGACGTTGAACGGCCCCCCGGGTGTTTCATGTTAAAGTCAAGCTCGCGGTAGATTTCATCAAAAGAAAGTTCACCAAAGTCACAGTCCAAAAATCTTACCGGAGGTGGTGGGTTAGGTATACTTGCTACTTCACCGGAAGGGGAGAGTCTGTGGAGAGCTAGCTGCTTCAACAATGAGAGAGGTCTGCTTCCTGGACTCTTCAGAGACTTCCTGGATCGCAGTGCAGGCTCGTTCCGTGATGCTGTTGACCGCCTTCTCAACCTCTTCATTAACGGTACATGAAATGAGTTTTAGACTCGCAGTTAATTTGTTCATTGTCTCGTCAGCGTCTAGGGCACATTGGCCTAATAAATGCTTTCTTAAAAAAGAAATTTTGTTGTCCGTTGTGCTTGCTTTAGTAGCACTTTTCGAAAGGAGGCGGAGTCTTTCGAACTCAAAATCTAAATCGGGAGCAGGCAGTAAGCTTAACAAGTGAAGGCATGTTGTTGCTGCAAACGTGTAATTCGCTGACACCCCAAACCCCAACATACCGATAGAAGGTGCTTCTGGGTCAGCGATTGACTCAGAAGCAGCTTTAGAAGGTAGTTTCTTCCTCTGGGATGATGTAGGTGTAGAGGTATTAGGTGTAGGAGTTGCAGAATTTCGTCGCGACATGATCAGTATAAATCACAAGCTCAGTGCGATAAGAAAAGGTAGATTACAGAGGAAAAATATTGATGCGTAATGAAAGTAGTAAAATGATAATGGAAAGTAGTAAAATGATAATGGATAAGAACAGTATACACATAGTGTCACAATGACCCTATATAAAAGGAAAAAACGAAACCCTTCAACAAATCAAAGTTTTCAAAATCACCCTTGGCCTTGCGGCTCCAAGTTCAAATCTAAACTGTCTATATTGACAAAGTTCTTTCTCGCCCCTCTGTCAGCAAACATTTACCAAAATCAAAATGTGTTAATAGGAGGAACCTGTGGGCCGACAACACTGAATTAAATTTGTTGAAGGGGATTGTTTTCAATTGGGCACTCAGTGACTGAGCTATTAAGGCCTTAGGCCAACGTATAGGTAATGACTTTTGGCCCCCTGTAGTTGTGGAGCATGATATAATGATTCCTCTTGGTCTTGGGAGACAAAAAAATTGATTTGACAAAAACTTTCAGATAATGATCCAAGGGCACGTATGATCACACTAGGACCATACAACAGTGATAGTAAAACTTAAACATGTTCAAACACAAAATATGTTAATCAGGTGGTGGAAGGATGATGATGATGAAAATCTTTCATAAGAAGTTTTCAAATGTTGCACTTCTAAACAAAATTATTTCCGCACAAGGAAATTTTTCCATCTTGATTGAAACGTTTCTAATTTATCTGTGAATAAATAGTAGGGTTATTTTTGTGTCTTATATTTTAACAGCTAGTATGTTATGTGAACTTATTAACAACAAATGTGAAAATGCCGCACAAACGTTGTTGTTTGTATCTCGTCGCGACCCCCACGGTCGTTACAGGGGAGCCGCGCACTCGTGCGCGGCGGGTCATACAACGTATGATAACACTTGTAGGTTTATAACCTACCAGGACGCGTGCCGAGTTGGATTGTATCACGTTGCGACCCCCACGGTCGTTTCACTATGTAGCGTCTTCGACGCTACAGGGGGAGCCGCGCACTTCGTGCGCGGCGGGTCATACAACGTATGACAAGAGTTGGACTCGTCGACGGTATATGGAACAGATATTTTAAGAGTATCACCCGTTAAGATAACACAAACTTGGCAGCAAAAAGCTAATACTAACCAGCACCTTGCACAAAACAAAAATGTTTAAAAAACCCACCGCTTTGTGCTTTGGTGGGTAGTAAATACACTTTTCACAAGCAAGCTGTAAGAGCCACTTTGGCTTAAATCGGTTGGTACAGAAATTTATTAAAAGTATACTTCAAATCCGACACAAGTAGCAATTGTGAATTAACATTTGAAGCATGATTTGATGGATGTTACTCTTCTTAATTTCTTCAAAGTAACGCGCGCCGCTTTTCTCTTGAAATGTTAGCCCTATAGTTCATTAACAATTGACAATGGACAAAAGCAAGATCCGCTCGAGCAAAAAACTTAAAGCATCAAAGCAACAAAAAAATGTTTATTCACAAAAAAATAAACACAGAATTGTCATTTTTAATATAACTGTTGTCATAATGCTTAAATTGAAAACTGAAAAATTGACCAAAGAGCCTTGTTTTTAAATGTAATTTTAGCGTTACTAAATTTTTCGCAGCTCGGCAAGGCCCAGTAGCGCATTTCGCCGATCTATCGAAGAAGCATTATTGATTGCGCATCGCGCGCGGCCCAGTAACGCATCGTGCTACAAATACTGCCTTGCGTTTGATATTGCTTTATAACCAGAGCCCTCTCGTGACCGCCGTATACATTCACATAGCTATGTGTGTATGCGTACTGCGTGACGCGGTTGTTTCACAAGTGCTTGTACTGCAAGCGAGAGGGCTTTGGTTAGAGCAACCGTATACACATGGCTATGTGAACGTTTGATATGTTGCCCATCTAACATGTTTTCCACATTAAAGAATTTTTGCTGGTCCTTATAGCTTTTTGTATCACGTCATGACCCCTTGTATCACGCGGTGACCCCCCTGTAGAGTTTTTACGATACAGGGGAGCTGCGCACTCGTGCGCGGCGGGTCATTCAACGTATGACAAATAGCTTTTTGCTTACCAATATTTTTATTGAACCCAAATATTTTTACCCAAGATAATTTTTCGTGCGCGGCGTCGACCAAACGTTTAGTTGAATGTTAAAGTTTTAAAATTGTTTTATTATTTATTTATCAATCCATTTATTAATTGCCATGCTGCAATTCTGAAAAACATGTAACGTGAATGGTGACAAAGTATAATAGCTATAGTATAAGTCAAATTATAAAAGCCGAATTTGTTACACGTTTGACGTTGTAGACCGGGATAGGCGAAGTTGTGATCTGGAAACAAATAATAGTGCGATGTTTTATGTCAAATAAAGCTGCAAATTCAGTGAAATGTTTTACACATTACATTTGACCATTGTTAATGGTTTGGCCCGGCGCGCGCTACTTCGTAGCACTTGCCATCGGGCCAACATTTCGAGAAGAAAGCGGCGCGCGCTACTTCGAAAAAATTTAGAGGAGTAACATCCGTCAAACATTACATTCACAATTGATAACAACAATCATTTCGTCTATAGTATCGAAGAAGAAGAATAAAAAGTTGTAGAGCTGTTAAAGTAGATCTAGGTACAGACATAAGCAATAAATCCTTAGAGTTGAATTTTAGTTGCTAATACTTACAATTGGGTAATAATCATTGCATGCTGCAGTTATTGTATTGGATCTGAAGACGAACTGAGTTATAACATTCCCCTCTGACATCTGAAAGCATTGTCGAAGAAACCTTTACTCTTGTTTAGTTAGGCTATTATGTTTGTCATGTGTTTTGCCTTGAAAATGTTCCACGAATGTTTACGGCTTACTCTGACAGTCTCTGGCCATTCAGCACATTGTCACTTTTTCTTGAGCATTGCGGGATAGAGCTAATATGTCTTTGGCTGCTAATTGCAGAGAAGATATCTTATAAGAGCTAGTATATAGAGAACTGACTATTTCAAATGTAATCGGGGTCATGATATCTGGTTAAGTGTACTTCTTTTCCCTAATACGCCGCCCTTGAAGGCTCTAATATATATATATATCAATAGTTTGTTTACAGTTATACAATTTAGGCGTACTGAAGCTGAAGGTGTATCCTAAGAAGATTCTTGATCTTTTGGCAAGGTCCATCTAATAGCCACTAGGCTGAATGTTTCCACTGTGACCTGTGTCTATAGTAATATCTAATATTTGTGTTAAACTCATGTATAGATGGTGTTAACAATATAACACCCTGTATATGCCCTTAAGCGGTGTAAGCACTTTTGTTCCTACAATCGTTCGTAAATATGCCCCACAATATGCATTGAAATTCCCTAAAATTTAATCATATTAATTTATAATTACATGGATCAAATTCATAATCGATAAAATTGTTTCACTATACCTTGGTTGTAACTTATTCACTCTTAAAATTTTAAATTTGTTTCACTAAAATTTGTTTCACTCTTTCTTATCTAAACGTTTACTTGTATTGTGTTTACTGCATTGGTATAATGATACTAAACATTTGCAGGCCAAGAGCTACATGCTAGACCTACGTTATTTCCTTGTATAGTTACATTTAGATTCATTGAAAGTTGCACATGTCATTGACAATGTTCTATTTGACGACACAATAGCTTTGGAGTTTGAATGTATTATGTCATGAGTTGAATTTGTACGCGTACAAGACATGAGTATAGTTCACTTTTTGATTTCCTACAATTACATAGATGAAAGTTAAAATAATATTCTTAATTTTATGGCAATTACTTTGAAACACAAGAACTGACCAGAGCAGTGGATGGAAATATACGTCCCCCTCTAGAAAACAGTCATAATTCTAGAATACAGTTTTAAATGAGTATAAGTTGTGAATCAGAAAGGGACTAAAAAGTTTTATACGACACCCTGTTTAGTGAACATTAAATCCATGTAAATGCTCATTAAAATAACTCCAGGTTGAAAATGGCAAGTCGTGTTTTGATTACTGGATTTGGCCCATTTGCCAATCATCCTGTTAATGCCAGTTCTGAGACATTAAAAATAGTGAGTAAGGAACTTGTTTTAAAAGGTATTGAGTTCGATTTTCAAGAACTCCGTGTGGTCTATGAAAGCACTAAGGAGTTCATATCAAAATATTGGGAAACAAAAACACCCCTTTTTTGCGTTCATCTTGGTGTTTACACAGAAAAATTTGTCTCAGTTGAGTGCCAGTGCAATGAAACTGAGTATTCGCTCAAAGATGTTGAAGAAAAAATACCAGGAGATGGGAAGTGGCCTTTCATTAGATCTGCATTTCCATTAAAAGAAATTGTTCAAATTCTTTCTGAACAATCCTTACCTGTTCCTGTAAGGCTTTCCGAGGATGCAGGGCAATATTTGTGTCAGTACAGTTTCCACAATTCCCTGCGCAATGGAAAAGGAAAGTCAGTCTTCATTCATGTTCCAAAACTCGAGGACTCCCCAGCTAAGAACACTGCAGCAGTTGTCATTGCCATCATTAAAGAATTGTTAAATTCATCATCAACTCTGGATTAAATTTCGTGCAGCTATTTTATTCATGTTATAATACCCTTTCCCGCTTTGCTTGCAAAATTTACAGTTGCAAAATAAATGTTTGCTAGTTATTGCATGGTGCTAACTGCTTTTGCATTGTAATCAGCTGTAAAAATATGATTTTTATTGAAGTATGATTTATTAATTTCTCGATTGCACAATTATTGTTAACTTCCACAATTCTTAATATTCATGGGATACTTTGTAATCCGGATTTTATTCAGTTAATTTTCACAAATTTTTCTGGTCCGATGAGGCTGTTTGCATTTAAAATAATAGGCATGTAACGATTGTTTTTATGATGACATTTCCAATTATTTTATCATTCGCAAGGAATGAGATTTTTCTGATTTATCATTAATTTAGACTAAAACTGTAAATTTGGGTGACTAATTATTTATTCTCTTATTTCTCTTATATATTATCACACTTGCTTCTCAATGATCTCATCAGTGAATCGTTTAATTTTCATTCTTTCTTCTACCTTGCATGTGTAAATAATAAACATATCTTGATTGTGCTGAACATTGCCGGTAGGAACAACAATTGTGATGAGAAAATATCAACTCACCTAAAACAAAATGAATTTAGTTTTGGATTCAAGTAAACTTTCATCTAATCCGATTTTTGCACAGAATAAGGATGTAAAGTGTCGGTTGATGAAGGCTACTAGCCAGACGAGTGTAATTCCCACCGACGAGATAGTGTGAGTTAGAAGAGATTGATGCCGCGGGCATCAGACCCGGACTTAGACCTTTTTACTCCCGGTGACCCAGAGCTAATATTCACCGAGCTAAAGGTACAGTTTTAATTTAGATATTTTATGGACTTTTTGCCTATTTTGTTAATTTTGATCCGAACAAAGTTAACTAACAATTCAGCCAAATTGTACAAATTGGCATGATGATTCACCGTTTTTTGGTTAAACTATGAGTATATCATAATATGTATGTATATTGTATACGTTCACATTGGTCGTATAGGGAAAGTTGTGTTTTGACATGTGACTGTGATCAATCAACCATCAACCAATCCAATTCCAGAATCACTATTCGACCTGTCAGAAATATCTATAAAATCACTTGAACCTGTCAAAAGGAACCACACCCAAATGACGTCTATTTCGTCTGTAAATAGCACCATAATTCTCCAATACACTAAACACCTTACACCCTTAAACATGGTTTTCTTCAGGAGATTGGCCATGGAAGTTTTGGCAATGTGTACTTTGCCAGACAGGTGGATAATGACGATATTGTAGCAGTGAAGAAAATGGCCTACTCGGGCAAAAACTCCCAAGAGAAACTCCAGGACATCCAGAAAGAGATAGAGTTTCTCAAACAGTGCTGCCATCCAAACTGTATTCAATTCAAGGTAAAGTTGCTAAACTTTAATATTATATTTAAAGACGTTTTAGCTTAGCCTTATATTTTATCTGCTGTACGTAAATAAACAAGACTGCTTTTCATCAATAATGTGTTTAAACACACAATTTTGACGTGCATATAATTTCTTGATGTGAGATGTGCATCATAGACATAACATTGCACATAAAAATATTCTATCATCCACTGACAAAAGACTACGATTCGTATTTTAAATTGAAACAGGACTGCAAACAGGTGACCGTATCCCACCACACCATTGACCACACCCACCTACATTCTCTAAATTAAAACACTTTTTTTCTTTGTTAGTTATACCTGTCTTACTCTTAGCTGAACTCACTAAATTTCAACATAGTCCTTTATGTAACACTGATGTCATCCAAATTGACATGTAGGCTTTATTGAGATATATATTATGACACTGAAGTGCAATTTTTGAGTTCTCCACACAAAGCATCATACCCAGTTGCAGTATCATCCAGTATAATACCCAGACTCACTTTGTCTCGAAATTTCGGGCTTCTCTTTGAAGGGATCCATTCTTCAGCTCCATATCAACCGTTTTTAGTTTATGTCATGTCACAATATAGTATCATGATATGGAATTCTTTATATAAAATTTAAGAGGTTTTGAAGACCATCTGACACGTAAGGCTCAAAAATAAGTTTTAAAAAAGTGTAGTTCTAAAATGTTTATCCATCATATCTTACCATTGTGCATAAAACGCTATCATTCGCATCACGAGATAGATCATAGTATTACCAAACTACCAAACTTGGTTAAACACCCAACTAACAACATTATCCCTGGCAGGGTTGTTACCTGAAAGGACACACAGTTTGGCTGAGTATGGAATACTGTTTGGGCTCCGCTGCAGATATTATCGAGGTCCACAAGTCACCACTAGCAGAACCGGAGATAGCAGCCATGATTAAAGACACGCTAACTGCCCTGGATTACATCCACGCGAACAGTATGATACATAGGGACGTTAAAGCAGGTACAGTCGCTCAAGCGTTATAGATGTGTCACGTACACTGTTATATGAATGTTATAGTTAACTCTTCGGTAGTTAAAATAATAAATATCCCAAAAATCTAATCTGTCCTGCATGAAGACATAATTATACTGTCATACTTATCAGTAATCGAGTAGGATCCCGGAAGTGTCGGAATCGAGTTTTTAATCCCGACCTCTGCTAAATTTGGCCGTGATTTTAGCTGAGATTTTCTAATAATTTGCTCCTCCCATAATCAGAATTATTCATTCGTACAAGTTTTTATTTTTTAAGAATAGTAAATTTCCAATTCTTAGTCATAAAATGTTGCTTTAAATTTGAATTCAAAGCGGTGAGAAGGGTCGTTCCCTTCCTAATGACGTGTACAAAATTCCGGCAATGTCAACAAATCCCAGAACAGCCAAATCTCGGTATAAAGCAAAAATGTAGATCATCCCGAGCCGGCAAAACATTCAATCAATACTCGATTACTGATACTCATATTGTTACAGTAGTGTGTGTAGTGTTCTGTGTTACACTATAGCTGTAGGTTTGTATCATTCTTGTATATTATATTATATTATATATAATTATGTTCTTGCGTCACATTGTTTTATAATATACACCGAGCAGTTCTCAGTCTACCCCTCTTAGTCTTACACTAGTTTATTTGCATTGAAATATGTATACAACGTACAAAGCTCAAATTGTATGTGACCTGTAATTCTTGAATCTAAAAATACGAATGAGTACAATAAATATAAAATTAACCGTCTGAAACTAAAGGCATTCGTATTTCAGGTAATATTTTGATAGCTGCTAACGGTAGGGTGAAGTTGGCTGACTTTGGTAGTGCCAGTCTCAGATCTCCTGCTAACAGCTTCGTGGGGACTCCCTATTGGATGGCTCCTGAGGTATTTATCATTGATTTATAGTACCTAATAAATACTTGATATATTATATTTAGATTCACTGGATATTGTTAGGTTTCTCCTTTGGTTTAAACATTGTATTCCTTTTAAAATTACGATGCGATGGTGGATATGGTTATTATATATATAATAAACAATAAACATGTTGGCCTTAGATATGGTGCTGTTTCACACGGCCCAGGATGCATTGAACACCACAGAAGTTTCCAGAAGTTTATTATTGCATAATACTGACATTAAACTGTCATTCATGTTTAAGATTGTATTACGAAATATCTACCGTGTTCTGGAATAATCCAGAAAATATTTGCCCGACAAATAGACGCCCTATACATACACCAGTCAAGCACGGTAATCCGGGGTTATCTGTAGATTTCAAAGTATGCTAAGTACACCCCAAGTACATTTATTCTTTAGAATTAAATATTTTAACAATTACAATTCTTTCTCCGTGAATCGTCAGCACAAAGTACCAATCACATATTATTATAATGCACATTACTACGTTTTTCTCGATTTTCCTCGCGAGTCTTTCAGTTGACAGCACAACCACGTGACTCGCACAAGTACAATAGTATTGAACGACGCGAGTTACATTCGAATTGGCATGTAATATGTCATATAATATGCAAATTGCAAATATGTCATATGATATGCATACCATTCCGGTAATGCAGCTTACAAAAGTGTTAAACACAAATGTGTCGTGCTCACATATTGTTATTATCACTTACAAGTTACACTCAGCTATAATGCAAAGTAGAGAGCTATCAGGCGTACTAGTTTATCACTGTTCCTGTTAAATGGGTGACCCTGTAGCTGTGGTAATACTACCGGGTACATGGTACTTGTAACCGTCACACATTCATGCAATATATTGCAAATATGCGACGAACATAACGCAAAACTATACTATGACTTGTCCTCAAAACAAATGATAGATGGTGTCAGGCTGTGTAGATCATTTATACCATTCTCTCTTTCCTTACAGGTTATACTAGCTATGGACGAGGGAACATACGACGATAGGGTTGACATCTGGTCCTTAGGGATCACCTGTATAGAGCTCAGTGAAGGAAAACCCCCGCTCTTCAATATGAATGCCATGGCGGCGCTCTATCATATAGCACAGAATGAGAGCCCGAGATTGGGGGAGGGCGGCAATGCACAATCTACCTGGTCAACCTGTTACAAGGACTTTATAGCTAGGTGTCTGGTCAAGGAGGCTTCTGACAGGTAGCTATGTTATAATATTCCCTGACATACTTGTATTATTACTGACATACTTGTAATATTACTGACATTCTTGACATAGCTATCATTTGTTTATATCACCAATATGTAGCTTGAAGACTGGCTTATATCATGATTACTCGTTCTTTGATTGAAGAGAATTACAACAACGTCATTTGAATGCTGAACACCCAATTTCCGGTATGTAGTTTACGTCATAACCAGCAGTCAGCAGAGTAATAACTCAGCACGTGCCACACGGTCATTAGCATTCCGTGCATACCCTCACACTGTACGTGACTGTTCCCAGGCCCCGAGCGTGTGATCTACTGAAGCACACCCTGATGGTAGAAGCTCATCCGGAGACTGTTCTGAGCATGTTGGTTGCCAGGACCAAGGACGCTGTTCGGAGACTCGACAACAAGAGTTACCGTGCTGCGCGCAAGATATTCATGCTGAACAACCACAACGGGGTCAGTGTCTGTATATTATTAAATGTAAACATATACGTATTTGTTAAACTTATACTTATTATGTGAAATACATTTAGGTATTACGGGTAAACCGCCCCTAAAACGTCACCTGTTTTTTGGGCCCAGATTGCCGAGTTAGGGCTAAATTTACAGGGTTCTGAAGTGTCTAGGAATAATATTTTAACCTTTTTCTAGCCTGCCAGGAAGATTTGGAAATTTGAAAATAAAATCAGGTACAATTTTTTTGACGTTGAAATGGAGTCACTTTTAAAACACCACCCCTAAAATGTCAACTCTATATGTGTGATAATTACAAAATGTACAGGAGGCCTGATTTATCTTTTGTCACTAGTACTATTTGTTTTGTCTTATTAAAACATTAAGCTACTTGAAAACATTCACTCACTAAAGGAAGTACCTCAAAACCGTAATCACCCCCTAAAATGTCACGTGAACCACCCCTAAAACGTCAGCTAAAACAGGTTGTGTAGCACTCAGAATGTTGCTCAATTATTAATTTTAACCACTTCTGGGACAAATATAACCTATTTCTGAGAGGTGTCGACCAGAATTTCTCTCTCTGTTGAAAAAAAATGGTGGAATTTAGTCAATTTACTTTTTGTGACATTATGGGGACTTTTTTTTTAATACCCAGAACTTAAAAAACAGTAACTCAGTCACCAAAATTAACACCTGTAGTTAGATTATCTAGTTATAAACTAACAATTGGCACAAAAGAAATGGATTCAATGTGATTTTAACCTTGTGCAAATTGCATGTTTTAATTGCATTTTTTGGGATTTTTAACATCATCCTGCATTTTGGTAATTTTAGTGACCTGTAGTTAACTAAGCCAACCCAGTAATCGATCTGACCTTCTCTATAGACTAGATTTGACTGCTTTCAGCAAAATTGAATGTCAAAAACTACGGTTTTTGGTACTTACTAGTTTATGGTAAACTTATGATATGCCCCCTAAAATGTCATTTTTTTCTCCCCTAAAATGTCAAATTTGTATTTTGTTCGCATGGTGTGCGATAATAGCTCTTGTTTTGGCACTTGTTAATTATTAACATCAACTATTAACGAAATGTGAGTATGCATTGCATCTTAGGAAAAGCCTGAGTAATTTGATCAGGTTAAAATGACATTTTAGGGGGGATAATTAGACATTTTAGGGGATGTTTATTGCGATTAATAAAATAAAATTAATTCCTTGAGCTGCCAAAGCTTTCCAATATTACCATTAGATGCTAAATATGATGTTTAATAGGCTGGTACCTCCATTTTATGGTGCTTGTAGTCTCAAAGCCAGAATCTGATAAAATGACATTTTAGGGGGCGGCCAGTTGACATTTTAGGGGAGGGTAGTAATATTGAGTAATGTATAACTTTCCATATCTCCAGTCATATGTACAAAGTTGCTAAAATATGTAAATATCACTATCCTAGACCAAAACTGAGTTAATATTAATGAATTCCAGAGTTATAAAATTGTGCGCTTTTTTTCAAAAGTAAAAAATTCGTACAAAGTGAAAAAAATGCCCTTTTGGCATCATTTAGATTCAATTTCAGGATGTGGCAGGGTCTGAATGATATTTTTTTATGTTTAGGAGTTACAAATGATTAGGTAAGATACTTTCTAAGAAGATGGGATCCAATCAATCAAGAGTGGCGTTTTAGGGGTGGGTGACATTTTAGGGGCGGTTTACCCGTATAAGTTTGTTCAACATAAAAATGCAAAATATGCGGTAAATTATGCGAATCTGCAAGCGCTGCAAATGGTGCTTCAGCTGTAGTGAGGAATAATTACATTTAATTACCCGTCAGTCAATTATCTTGATTGGAGTACACATGGCATCTTGCATCATCGCCTTTTATGGCATATGGTATTGACATTGTAATTGAATTCTGGTGATAACATCTATAGAGGAAATTGTACACTTGGTTTCGTGTGAGCTCTGTAGAAATAACCACTGCTCCAATTCTCCTCACACTCAAACCGATTTGTAAAACCACAAGAAGGCGTTCCCGAATGCCGATGCATGATGAACATTCTCCTTGTTCAAAATTGTGGTTGGAATTTCATTAATTCCAGATATTTCCGAAATGCCGACACTGTGTAACACTCGTAACACCAGGACACAAGTGATGTGAGAACAGATGAGGATAACGACTCTATGAGTACAGGAAGTGCTGGCTCGCTGCAGGACCCTGATAGCATGGAGTTTGAGAGTGAGGGAGAGGAGAATGGAATGATGGGAGATAACGAGCATAATGAGTATGAGAGGCGGAACAGTGTGGTGGAGGTGTCTAACGCAGGTGAGTCTATAGCTGACCGCTATAAGGTAGCCGCTATAAGCTAGAACTCGCATTAGAATTACACGTAAAACTCGAAATTTACAGACGCAGTCTACAACGTTTCTATGATGGAACAATTTAGATTATGTTATAATTGATCGTTCATGTAACATGTTGGCCCTGTTCAGCAATGCGTTGAGATAACAAACCATTACATTATGTCATGTGACCATTGACCAATAATCTTAACAAAATGGAAAAACAAACATTGTCATTAACATTTAACTTAGGAACACTTTGCTTGAAGTATCAGTATAATGTTTACCTAACCAATAACCATGCTCTGTTTCAGAGGTGGATGACGAGGAGATAAGTTTCTCAATAGTTAACCCTCCCGTACCAGAGATAGAAATCAACAGGGACAACTTCAGGCCTACCCACGAGGGTTTCTCTACTATCAAACCGAACGCTACCCTTTCTAAACAGATGATGCAGAACAACCCTGAAAATGAGATCAAGAATCAGATGATGGTCTACAAACAGGTACTGTCTGGTGACTCCAGACCAACTTTGCTGGTGAAATTTCAATTTGAATTTATTTGTGAAAATTCAAAATATTTTGAAAGGTTTCTTCCTTTAATCTTTAATTTGTGTTTCGTTTAGAACATAAAACGTGATTTAACCTGCACCCATTACACGATGATAAAAGAAGATTAAAAGGTAAAAGTTGAAAATAACATGAAACCCCCTCCCCACAGATGCGACAGCACAACGTGAAGCAGTTGAAGCAGCTGGAGCAGCGACACAGGTATGCGGTAGAGGAGCTGAGGAGGAGTTTGGAGCGGGATCTTGAAACGTTGCGGAGTTCTAATGAGCGTGAACATGACAAGTTCAAACTGAAGTTACGGGACGATAAACTTGCGCATGATAGGTAAGTTTTATATATATGAGTGGTAAGTGGAATACATTTTAAATTAGTTATTGATGTCGTAAATTCGCATTTAATTGAATGTGATTTAATGATGTCCAACCAACAATGTATATTCCGAAAAGATAAAAACGGTAATATAAGCAAAGTGTAGATTGGATACCTTATCGGACCTTATTTGGACGGACATTACTTGAACGCTGGAGGCCCTAGCGTTCATCTAGTCTTAATGTCCGTTCAAATAAAGTCCGTTCAATTAATGTCCGTTCAAGTTAAAGTCCGTTGAAATTTTTTCAAAAATTTTTCCATTTCGAACTTTTTGTCCAGAATGTGACAACTTTAAGAATTTTATTGTGCCGTAAGTAAACGACGGAGAGGTTCTCCTTGGTCTGCTGGAGGCACAAAAACTCTACTACTACTACTACAATTATATGATGTTTTCAAGGGTCAATTGGCGGAAAAAAGTCAACGAAATTATGGCAATCAACAACATAGTTCATGAACTAATCCCCGCCAACATGACAAACTTGTTCCAGCCTCTAGATATTACGGTAAATCGTGTTGCCAAGGACATTGTCCGACGTTGTTATAGTTCATATTACTCGGGGGCGGTAATGAAACAGTGCTATGAAAGCTCCATGTGATATTAAGGTTAATCTTAAGTTGTCTAAGATAAAACCACTTCACGCCGAATGGCTTGTAAAAGTTAACACTGAAATGCAGGACCGCGACCGGGGTAGTTTGATTAAAAAAGGTTTCTATAAATCACTGATGCTTTAAGCATGGACTATTTCATGCACGAAAACCCATTTGATGAAGATGATATGTGATATTAGACACTGATCATGTACACATATTTTAACATTTTTACTGCTTAATGACTGCTTTTCTTACTTACTGTATAAAAAATGGATTAAAAATCATTTGCTGAAATTTAAAAAATTGAAAAAAGTTCGGATTTTTGATGGTTTTCAATGCCTTCGAGCGTTCATATTAATGTCCGTTCATAATTGTGTCCGTTCATGTAATGTCCGTCCAAATAAGGTCCGATAAGTTACTAATTTGTTACTGTACAGTGGTCATCGTAGCTAAACGACGTCATGGTGGCAATGTTCATTATAACACGATAAGTTTTATCACTATGACGTTGTTGATTAACTATGCTCGCCATGAATGGTCAATTAATAACTTTGATGAATGATGTAATTTGTCTTTCAGAGAGGTGAATCAGCAAGAGAAGAAGTTTGTAAAAACTCTGAACGAAAAGTATGAAACTACTCAGAAGTTTAGGATAGGGGAAACTAAAAAAGTACGTTCAACACTTTATTTCCTTTTTATTTTACATTTATGTCTTCTTCTACGAACATTTCTTCTTCCTTTGTTTGTGGCCTTGTTGTATGTGACTATCGTTTCCAATCTACATGAGCACAACAATTAGTTGTACATTTGACGGCGCTGTGTGAGTTATTAAAAAAGGACAATGTGAACGTCTTCCAATTATGTGTCTATTAAAATATATGATATCAATGTCTAATATAATATACTTTCAATACTTTTAAAGATATTTTTCCAGCTCTATCGTTCAGTTAACTCGTCATAACATGTCTTTAGTGCATTCATTCCAAGTATTTTAACATATTTGTAAGTTAAACAAGTTTAAAACATATATAAAACATAAGTCAATAACGTAAAGTATATTAAGATAAAGCTTAAGTTATTAACTTGAATAAGTAATAACAAATCTCACAACAGTATATAACTTAATATTACATAACACACACACGCTCCTGCAACAATACGCACTAGTACACGTACTGTATGTAATGTTTCACACCTCGGAGAGTTATTCACTATTCAGTCACATAAGTGTATTATAATAAGTTACATTTTGATCGGGGAAGCACATTTGTAATTGTGTGAGTCACATTACTGATAGTAATTATTTCCTCAAATGTTTCATCCTTTTTTGCGACAGTCTTAATGGCAATCATTATAACATGTACAATACACACTGCTGAGATGCTGTACATGTAATGTACACCACATTCCTTAATTTATACATAATTTACAGTGCATCGTGTCATGATCTCATTGTGTGTTTTTCCTGCGTGCTCGTTTACGAGTTGTAGCAGCATCACTACATCAAACCTTTCATTACACTCCCATGTAGTAATATCTATAATTGTACCTAGAATTTATATTCGTTATTTGCGTACAATTCCGTTTGATACACGATTAATTAATTATAAAATTGATTATAACATGGTATATTTTTTCAGTTGTACCTCCAGAAAAAGGAACTGCTGCGGCGAGAAATGAGCCAAACACCCAAACAGTGTCGCAAATCGTCAATAGACGTCAGCAAGGACAAGATCAAAAGAGAACTAACCGAAAACGAAGAGCGATACCTGAATACCGTCCAGAAGGTAAACACAAACTTGTTTAGAAAATCTTGAATTATCGATAATTAGTTGTTAATTACCAGTCCAATAACAAGCAGTTTAATGTCTGGTACGTGGAGGTGTTGCAGAGACCTGGCCTATAATAGAAGTGTCTCCATGAACCTGCCTCCTGATTGGTCGCAGGACGGAGCTCTAATTCGTACTTTACTTGTAGTGTTGTCAGTTTTAGAAAGAGTTGTACATATTTACAATAAAGGTGTTAAAACATGACATAATGCCTGACTAGCAGATATTATAGCAGTTATATACAGTAGCTGTAAGTGAGTAATCTGTATTATATTGCCACTAGTATAGTATGTAGTACCACTGCACTTCACTATATTGTACTTCACTATATTACTGCTGCATACCGTACACAGCAATACTTTTTGTTAGCTGTTTCATTCAATTTTACTAACTTAACTCTGAACCTGTTCGCAACGAAGTATAGCCGTCCGTGTCGAACTCCATAAAAATGTGCAACAAACTGAATTCCTGTCCCTCTCAGGAGAACGAACAAGAACTTCGCAACCACCGGGGTAGCTGTCTGAAAGTTACTCACGCGCTGGAGAACGACTCCTTCCAAGAGGAGTGGAACCTGAAGGAGATCCACAAGAACTCCCTAGCGCACATGAAACGCAAACATCACCATGACATGTGCGCGCTGCAGGAGCAACATCAGAGCGAGATTCACGCGATGCGCCAAAAGCAGTTGCAGGACCAGCATGCTGCAGAGTGGGAGAATCAGGTACTTAACGTGCAATTTGAGAGATGTTAACATGTGAATGTTTGAGAGTCACGTACAGTCACGTACAGAGCTCGTCTGCATCATCTCATCAGTCATATTCTCACCTGTTCATCAGTCATGTGCTCATCTTCATGTGCCATCTCTTATTACTCATACCATTGCACTCTCTTCTAATTCCTCATTCCATTCTACTGTTTTTAATATAAAGTTGAGGTAGTTTCCATATTTATAAAGTTATAATTAAGTGTACGGCTCACAGTAATGTTATAAATTATGCTGAGCTATGATCATCCTGCAACTCAAGGTTAATTTACGCAATGATGAGCCAAGACGTAGATCTAGATCACTGTAAGATCATGATTACTCTAAATTCAGATCCCACACCAAACCTACATCACTCACTAGGTCACGTACTTTCAGATGGAGTACACCCAAAGAGTTCAGAAAGAACTGCGCCGCAAACATGCACTGCAAAACAAACAGCAACCTAAGAACCTGCGACGCAAGAAACAGCAAATCCACAAACAGTTCGAGGCTACTTGCAAGATTATTGAGAGTCAGGTTAGTTGTGGAATGTTATCTCATGATACACCTGTCAGAATGACAGATTGTATTAAAGTATTATTATACAGTAAAGACTGAAGTAGGGTGACCATTATGTGTTCTAACCCAAGGCACATGGACCTAGTACATAACGAGCGTGTGGCGTGGCTCACGAAAAGCGTGTACTCTAATGCTTGAAACTATGCCAAAGTTGCTAGGGGCGTTGTTAGGGGCGTTGATCATGATATGATAAGAGCACCAACGTCCGCACCAACTTCTTGTTTATTTTATTATTTCATGTAATTCTAATTCTGAGACTAATCCTCCACCCCGTGCCCAGTACAAAGAGCTGCTAAAAGACTACCTGAGGAACAGCCCAAAAGAGCTACACAAAGATATCATCAAGAAGTTCAAGGACGACAAGATGCAGAAGATGATCAGCCTCAATGATCAGTACACAAAGAGTATAGCTGATCACTTAGAGCGTGAACAGGTGAATAGTTGTTCTGGTAAAGTTAAAATACTCATGCTTACGGAGGGGGAGGGGGTCCGAGATGGCTTTAAAATAGCTAATAATATGTAAATGATTCCTAACAGAGTTGGGTACCTTGGGTACCTTGGGAGTTGGGGTGGTGGGAGGGGGGGGGGAGATAGTCAGATACGGATCTGACTGGAGATAGTTATCTGGTATAATTGCATAAACTTGTAACATTATTACGTGTAACATGTTAACGATGACATGCACACTTGTATGCAGAAACTAAGTCACCTTATCTCTGTAACTTGAGAGCACTTATTTTATTTATCCACATTACATTACTTTATATTGAATTACATAACATTATTTTACATAGCTCTATCTAACGAATTTCGCTTTTAGCTTTTGAGCTTTTGCATTATTTGGATAAATAACCTAAACTTAGCACTTACTAAAATTGCAAACCCATTTCACAGGTGAATCTAGACGAGTCCCAAACTGCGGAACAAGAGGAAGTGCGTGCCACACTACACAAGGAACAGGAACTACTGCAGGCATACCAGCGCAGACTTCACCACCGACTTCAGGAGTCCATGAGCAATGAAAAGGAACTCTTCGTGGATGAATCTCATCAAAAGCTGGCCCTGCTCCAAGAGGATCTGATTGAAGTAGACCATCAGTTTGCACGTGCGCGTACTGAGGCAGAGTCCAAAGAGCGGGTAAGGCAGCGCAAAGAACTTACCGACTTTCAGAATCAAAGCCACGAGTTACCTCCATCTGATACCTTTATGAACAGAACATGGGGGCGCCGCAGCTCCCCTTTCGCGGGGTTTAGTAAATTCTGACCTGTAGAGTTTTATATATATTGATACGTGTAAATTTCGCGTGTTGTTATGTACGGAATGGGAATCGACTGCTGCGACTGCACAGTGCACACAGATTGCGCTCAGATCATCTGATGATAAGATCGGGTGATACACCCTCAGACCGGATCACAGATCAGATGAGAAGATTATTTGTCTGTGCTTTGTCAGCATGTTTATACGTTAACCGGGAACTCAATTTGTTGAACACAGTTTCGGAGGCAGCTCGAAGAGAACTATTATACATCAAAGGAGTGGAGGAACTGATTGATTTTACATACATTTACCTTGCGTTAATATGATGTCTCTCTCCACTTTTAAAATTATTTTTACGAACAATAACAATATTTTTATATTGTATACATGATGAAGTTTGTTTTGAAAAAAAAATGATGAAATATTCAGCGCGCCCATCTCTTTTTTGATTCGGTATATATCTTGGTTCAAACTTCGAAGTAAAGTATATATGACCGGCAACGTCGTGCGACAAAATCATTAAAACTAAATAGTTATAATTGATTAATTAATGAATAGCCAGGTCATGTTAATAAGGAAGAAATTCTTTTACTTGAATACGTGTGTGTTGTTTGATTGAACTCTTTGTTGTATTATTAAATGTTATGTTGGCGATTTTTGATAAATTCACTTTTCACCAGTCTATAACATATCATGTATATCTTGTGGTATGAATGGATGATTAATCGATCACAAGTTAAGAAAAGTTCACTTGATAACATTGTATGGATCACATGATCTTGATCTTAGTTGAGATTTTGTAAAATATGATGATGATATGTCGTCACATCTCCTGTCTCTTATATCGTATGATTATGTTAAATAATAATAGCAAGCCTGAATTTTAATATCTGATTTGCTGAGAAATTTCTGTTTTAGTACTCTTTTTCTAGAAATAATAATATTTAACGAGCAAGTGAATCTTCTGATTTACTTTAAACGAAGCCCAATTTGGTCACAATTATCATGTAATATGTAAAGATTGATAGCGACTTGAAATTTAGATTCTTGTTTACTTCTGACGACTTGATTTCCTTAACATATGACACTTCTATCGACCGAGATCAGTGACGTTTCTTCAACATCATCGGCTCTCTGTTAAAACGTCATGGAACTTCGCAAGCACGACAAAATTATGTGGAGGGCCAGAATTTTTTGAAATGAAAATATTGATGATATTATCATGACAGTATTGATATCGCAGTGATATCACTCTCCCCCTCCCCCACTAATTTCAGCCATTAATTCATCGCAGTTGTAAATCGTTTTCAACTCAAAACATGATTGAAGAATGATGATTTATAAATAGTATGACTTTAAATGGAATTTTTAATGCTGTCCCTGAATTTTCGATTTAACGAATCTCAAAGATTCTGAATTGTGTATAGAAAAGGAGCTGTGGTTAATGATGGACCTAGTAAGTTAGTCTTGCAGACAGTGTGATCATTTCTTATTCTTTGACCTCGTGATGTCATGAGTAATGAACAGACCTGCATTTATTTATGGTGCCACTGCGCGCACCCTCTTAGGTGCTGATAAAGCACGAATTGTGAGCATGATTATTTGGAAAGTATACAGTCACGGCTGTTCAGAACGTCGATTTCTGCGATTCTAATTAGACAGGATTACCCTAGGATTTATCCTAGCGCGTCCGAGATCTCTCGGATTTTATCAATCCTAACGCCGATCCAGTCCCCCCAGGATACCTCCGATGAATTCCTATCGCCGAGCGGCGATAGGATGTGTAAGTTCCGAGAGGCGATAGGATTTGCTCTCGGACCCGATAGGAAATTAAGAACCTATCGGATCCGAGCGCTAATCCTAGCGGAGATAGGATTTAACAATTCCGAGTGCCGATAGGATTTGCTCTCGGACCCGATAGGATACTCAAATCCTATAGGATCCGAGAGCAAATCCGAGAGGCGATCAAATTTCAAATATCAGGACCGATATAATTGGAAGACGACGCATATCTAACTGTAGGTTGAAACTTCATGCTTTCTGTCAGTTAACTTCAGGATCATATCATCGCTTTATCTTAAGTTGATCCACGGTTGCCTGCAGGTTACAACAACATGGAGGTTGTTTAGGTTAAATTAAGTAGATAAATGATAACTTGAAGCTAACTTGTAGTTCTCTATAAGAGTTAACTCTAGGATACCTTGTAGTACTCTTCAAGTTAACTTCAGGATACCTTGTAGTACTCTTCAAGTTAACTACAGGATACCTTGTAGTACTCTTCAAGTTAACTTCAGGATACCTTATAGTACCCTTCAAGTTAACTTCAGAATACCTTGTAGTACTCTTCAAGTTAACTTCAGGTTACCTTGTAGTACTTTTTGAGTTAACTCCAGGATACCTTGTAGTACTCTTCAAGTTAAGTTCAGGATACCTTGTAGTACTCTTCAAGTTAACTTCAGGATATAACCTTGTAGTACTTTTTGAGTTAACTCCAGGATACCTTGTAGTACTCTTCAAGTTAAGTTCAGGATACCTTGTAGTACTCTTCAAGTTAAGTTCAGGATACCTTGTAGTACTCTTCAAGTTAACTTCAGGATACCTTGTAGTACTCTTCAAGTTAAGTTCAGGATACCTTGTAGTACTCTTCAAGTTAAGTTCAGGATACCTTGTAGTACTCTTCAAGTTAACTTCAGGATACCTTATAGTACCCTTCAAGTTAACTTCAGAATACCTTGTAGTACTCTTCAAGTTAACTTCAGGTTACCTTGTAGTACTTTTTGAGTTAACTTCAGAATACCTTGTAGTACTCTTCAAGTTAACTTCAGGATAACTTGTAGTTCTCTATAAGAGTTAACTCCAGGATACCTTGTAGTACTCTTCAAGTCAACTTCAGGATAACTTGTAGTACTCTTCAAGTTAACTTCAGGATACCTTGTAGTACTCTTCAAGTTAAGTTCAGGATACCTTATAGTACCCTTCAAGTTAACTTCAGGATATACCTTGTAGTACTCTTCAGGTTAACTCAGGATACCTTGTAGTACTCTTCAAGTTAACTTCAGGATACCTTGTAGTACTCTTCAAGTTAACTTCAGGATACCTTGTAGTACTCTTCAAGTTAAGTTCAGGATACCTTGTAGTACTCTTCAAGTTAACTTCAGGATACCTTGTAGTACTCTTCAAGTTAAGTTCAGGATACCTTGTAGTACTCTTCAAGTTAAGTTCAGGATACCTTGTAGTACTCTTCAAGTTAACTTCAGGATAACCTTGTAGTACTTTTGAGTTAACTCAGGATACCTTGTAGTACTCTTCAAGTTAACTTCAGGTTACCTTGTAGTACTCTTCAAGTTAACTTCAGGATACCTTGTAGTACTCTTCAAGTTAAGTTCAGGATACCTTGTAGTACTCTTCAAGTTAACTTCAGGATACCTTGTAGTACTCTTCAAGTTAAATCTAGGATACCTTGTAGTACTCTTCAAGTTAACTTCAGGATACCTTGTAGTACTCTTCAGGTTAAGTTCAGGATACCTTGTAGTACTCTTCAGGTTAAGTTCAGGATACCTTGTAGTACTCTTCAGGTTAAGTTCAGGATACCTTGTAGTACTCTTCAGGTTAAGTTCAGGATACCTTGTAGTACTCTTCAGGTTAAGTTCAGGATACCTTGTAGTACTCTTCAGGTTAAGTTCAGGATACCTTGTAGTACTCTTCAGGTTAAGTTCAGGATACCTTGTAGTACTCTTCAGGTTAAGTTCAGGATACCTTGTAGTACTCTTCAGGTTAAGTTCAGGATACCTTGTAGTACTCTTCAGGTTAAGTTCAGGATACCTTGTAGTACTCTTCAGGTTAAGTTCAGGATACCTTGTAGTACTCTTCAGGTTAAGTTCAGGATACCTTGTAGTACTCTTCAGGTTAAGTTCAGGATACCTTGTAGTACTCTTCAGTTAAGTTCAGGATACCTTGTAGTACTCTTCAGGTTAAGTTCAGGATACCTTGTAGTACTCTTCAAGTCACCTTCAGGTTACCTTGTAGTACTCTTCAAGTTAAGTTCAGGATACCTTGTAGTACTCTTCAAGTTAACTTCAGGATACCTTGTAGTACTCTTCAAGTCACCTTCAGGTTACCTTGTAGTACTCTTCAAGTCACCTTCAGGTTACCTTGTAGTACTCTTCAAGTTAAGTTCAGGATACCTTGTAGTACTCTTCAAGTTAACTTCAGGATATAACCTTGTAGTACTTTTTGAGTTAAATCCAGGATACTTTGTAGTACTCTTCAAGTTAACTTCAGGATACCTTGTAGTACTCTTCAAGTTAACTTCAGGATACCTTATAGTACCCTTCAAGTTAACTTCAGGATACCTTGTAGTACTCTTCAAGTTAACTTCAGGATAACTTGTAGTAATTTTTGAGTTAACTCTAGGATACCTTGTAGTACCCTTCAAGTTAACTTCAGGATACCTTGTAGTACTCTTCAAGTTAACTTAAGAATATATTCTAATCAATTTTGAGCAGATAAGAATGTTTCAGATAGATCTTAGAATGAAACACCAAAGCCCTTTCAGACAAAACTTTGTAGCTATTCTAAGCCATGTTATTCTGACATTTGGAAACATTTCCTTGCGTTTGAACATAGACTATATTGCTAAGGATAAAATGCTATTCTTAATAACCACTGCAATTCTGAAAAAGCCATTCACAATTTCTTCTGTTCAGTAAAACAATTCTTCGGAAATATAACAAAAGGATACGGCACCGGGAATTCCCAGGCGGTCACCCATCCAAGTACTAACCCGGCCTGCAGTTGCTTAACTTCCAGATCGAACGAGATGGGGTGTATTCAACCGAGTATGGCCGTATCCAATGATGATGAATTTTGCTTCTCTATATTTTCTCATTAATTTTACGGAAGAATGAAAACATACTAAAAGTTAATATTTTAAATTTTTTTTTCATGTTTTCGATCTCGATGGAATTTTATTTGAGTTCGGAAACGCGCAACACGCATTTTATCTCCCGGAAATGATAAATCCGAGAGCACACCTCTCGGAAACGTAAAATCCTAGAGCTAGGCTCTCGGATTTTTTTATCCTATCGCCTCTCAAAAATAAAATCCGAGCGCCTAGCGATCAGGAGCGATCGGACGACGATCTGAAATGCGATCGGATCGCCCTAGGACAGCGAACGTCGTCCAACCAGGAATGGCGTAATCCTATCGGATTAGAATCCACGCTAGAACAGCCGTGCAGTTTTAAGCAATTGTAGATGTAGACCCTGTGCGCGCGCTATCGATGATATAATATTGAAAGCGTTGGAATGCACATTGCGATGCCAAGAGAAATATGTAGTGGAATGCAGTATAGTGTTTCCTGCAGGAATTGATCTGGAAAACGCACTAAACACATGGCCGAAGTAACTGGACAAACGAATATGGTACGACAAATACGATGAGACTAAAGAGGACGTTACATATAAATGACAGTGAACTGTCCATCCAGGGTGGTTTAATAAATCAATAGTAGCATAGATGGCGTATTAACCAAATAGTGGTTGGAATTTTAATAAGGGGTCGTTCACATATTACGTAATCAGCTGAGGGGGGGTTCCGAATGATTACGCTAGTGTAATTTTGACACAATAGCTATGTGTAAAACTAATTACGGAGGGGGTAAAAATGATTACGTAATATGTGGACGACCCCTAACATTGGGGGGCCACGTCCGTCTATGTCCGCTTGTCTCATAGAATCCAAAAAGGACAGGACAAAAGTGGACATCAGCGGACAAAAATGGACAAGAAAATAAGCTGAATTTTGTTAAAATTTGTTTTATACTTTTCCAAAAAAGTCACATTTTATGTAGTTCACCCTTTAGAGTATAGATCCTGTGGGGGGGGGGGGCCAATGGCATAAATGGAGAAAATGGAGAATTACTCATAGGTTTTTTCATTTTCTCCATAGAAATAGTCTCCATTTTATGCCATTTTATGCCATTGAAAACCTGAAAAATTTAGAATTTCGAGAAAAATTATTTAAAAAAAAAGATATTTTCGG